GGACGTGGTCGGTTCCTGCTCTGGACACTCAAATTGACTTATTTTGAGCCTAATAATACATGGTACTCCACGGAATGTTGGGACACACTGTACGTTATATGAGAAGTATCTAGAGAACAAAGTCGTTTTATGAAGAGGTATTGATGTAAAAGAATTTATATCTAAGTTTCAGATGATAATTTCTGAAGGAAATTTTCGCACGAAGGAACCTCATCAATCGCCATAGATTCTAGGGAAAAGGGCTGGATACATGTTTAAGGCTAGGATATATTTTTCAGAAGCTAACCTTAGCTTTACACGAGGTTGAAATATGTTCCTGATTTTCATGTATGGAAGACTCCTCACCCGGCTACACTGGCTGATAAAGACACAATTCGTCTAAGCGGGAACATTTCTTAAACCATTACGCAGTGCATTTCAAAAGCTCCCCCTCTATTTATTGTTGAACGGCACGGGTATTACGTATCTTGAAAAGTGACATTATGTCGATTTTTTTTTTTACATTGTATTAGTTTTTTGTGACATTATGTAGGTTTTTCTACAAGACGTTAACTGAGCACTAGCTGATGGATACGTTGTTGTAGTTGTACATATTGCCTAAACGTCATCAGGCTTCAGTTATCGATGTTTGCCTCTGATTTGATGTAAAATCTGCTTCAGAGATAGCATTACTGGAGGTAACGGCAATGCATAGGTGTATAGTGAGGATTCGTGTTCTAATAATATATGTTGATGGTAATTCCATTGGATTCTTGTCTCAAATACACTTACTTGAGGAAATTGGTTGCACATCCAGTTTCTCTTATTCATTTTAGAAATTACATATGCAAATTTGCTGAATTTCAAAAACGAGAGAGATAAGAAATAATTATGTTCGCTATACACTGTCGAATTACAAGTCATAGACGTGCTAACAGTAATTACACACAACGCGGGCGCGGTGGCGATTTCTCGCAATTTTCCTCAAAGTTTTGAAAACACAAAAAAACGTAAAAAATCGTAATCTATAACTTTGAACAAATTATCCGTTGGGCACAGCTAATAGACATACGTCATCGACAGCATATTCAGTAATGATTTTCTCACATAGCAAATAAACACTGATCTTATACACATGCAGGCCAATACACACCATCATCCAGATGCGATCTTGCTATTCAACCAACTTTCTTCTCAGAGATGAAAACAACAATGCGTGTAGTTGAGCCATTCCTCCATAGATGGACTCTCACAATGATCATAGTGAGCAAATGTGGAGTGACTGTTACTATGTAATAGTTTTCTTTACGTTTTATAGGTTTTTTACATAATACCCGTGCTGGTTAAGCTAACAAACCGAAATTCGAGGTGATGAAATTGATGTTCGAATAATATATTTTGGGGTAAATTTCAAGATGGTGACTGGGCGCCATTTTAGAACATGTTTCCAAATGGAATGGGGTAAAACTTCTCATGAGTACAATTCACTAACTTCCACTGAATCGCTTATAACTGAACAACCAGTCATCAAAACGCGATATATCAATATTCAGCCACTGGATGTATTTACCAGAAAGTAAAATGGATAATAAAATCCGGAACAATCCATTTGAAAAAAAATTGACAAAAACGGTCAATTCTGGAATGTGTCATACCCTATTGCACATCAGATCGGCCCTTTCAAGAGAAGAAGATTGATACAACAGGCTACAGCAGTCTGATGTTTATTTTTTGACTTACAAGCGACTCAGTGCCAGCGGGACAGATCGAAAGATAGTGATTTTGTATTCTATAGTTATAAATTACTCATGAGTGGCTTCAAAATGACGTTTTACGCGACCCCACATTCCCTTAAAAAAATGTTCCATAATGGCCGACATCTTGAAATCAACTACCACTTTTGAACAATAATAAATTTATGTTCTAGGATTATGAAGTGCTGATACAGAGGTGCAGAATGAGTTGTCACATGACCTACATTCTATCTGACAAATGCTACAAGATTACGCATATTGGTCATTTTGAAATTTTCATCCGTGATTTTTACGTTAAAATATAGTATTTATGCATCAATTACATCATCCCGAATTTCAGCATGCCAGATCGACCGTTCAAAAAATAAATGAGGGCGCCTTTTTGGAAAAGCACTGTATATCTCAAACCTCTCTCATCGATGAACAGTTACGAAAATGAGCGCCTGCAGGGGGTGCCAGGTGGCAGTGGCTTCCGTCTGAGAATCCGGTTGGATCATGAAATTTGCATATTTAGCATAATTTTCTGTACAATTTTGTGAATTTTTGGGATCTCAATACACCTAAAACTAAAAGATTTCTCCATTCTACCTATTTTATCAGTCCAAATTCATATCAACAACCTATCCCCAACTAAGTTTTTTTATAATCACGTTACTTCAACATTTTGGTCCTTTGTGGCTGTGGCTTTGTTTTTTATGATGCCTTAATGCGTCCTCAAATCATTCTTGGCCAATACATTCAGAATTCATGCTACTATCCTAACAACAAAATAACGAATTCAAATTAAACTTTGCGATAACGCTACGGCAAAAATCAATTCTGAAATCCGCATTTAACTCTAGTAGACAACGTTTATCCTACAGCCAACATATTTGTTTTTGCCCCTATTTGTACCCTCCTTACTGTGAATACTCTGACAATGATTTTCTCCAGAGAGAAAAGGTGAAATTTCCTTGGCATCAGCTCAAAAAACAATACTTGACGAGGGTAAGGGCACAACAGAACGCGGGAATTTCATTTTGCACAACAAAAAAATTCTTTCGCTGATTTGAGTGGAAGAAAATTGTATTTTGATGGAGACCTGAGAAAATTGAATTGAAAGGGTGCGGGTCAATACACCAGGAAATGATTTGGGTCAAGTCCTGGCCTCTCATTGACGTCCATGATAAATAAATATTGCTTATTTATATTATTTTATGAGGCGCACTGAAGCGAACGTCTGTTTTTGATAAACGGACCAGCCCTTTCAGGCATCCATTTACTCCGGCCTGTCGGAATTCAAATCACTAAAACTTGAGCTATGTGTACAACGCTCGGGTAAGGCCGTTACCACCGAGAGTACAAGGCCTGACAACAGACTCGTGACGTCACCACGAGTAGGCCGGTCGGCCGGCCGACAGCACGCCGTGCCGTACTTTAGCGCTAGTGAATAATATATTATTTATTTATTTATTTACTCATGTTTGGGGTGCAACAGAATGTGAATTCCAAAGACAGCACCCGCTGCTTACTATAGTGATAAATTAAAAAGATAGATAGATTACAAAATCCAGAAGATATGAAAATCTGTAACACAAGCCTACTATATGAGAATAAACAACACTATGATATAGCACTACTATAAATCGATATAAATTTAGAATTTAATATTTTTAAAAATTACACTATTCCATGAATCGCACTAGTCACCAAAGAACACAAACACAGCACGTTACTAGACAGCTTTGATAACAAAACATATAGAATACTATATAAAAGTATGTAAGCTGCCTCCTTACCAATGCTTTAAAATTGTTAAAATTGACCACAAAAATGTCCAAATTTATAGAGGTATCGTTGAACACCCTCTGGGCCCATTGCAGCATATTTAATATACTCTACCTGATGTAAATAACGGATAATTCAGAAAAGTGTTTTTGGTATATGAAGGCCACTTGGTGGAAAATATTAAAGTAGTTATTAACTATTTTCACCCTGATTTTCACTGATATTTCATCCAACATTACGTGCACGTTAGATTAATCAGTTGATGTTATAAAAGCTTGCTAAAAATGATAAATTCTTCAATGAATAACCCCATGTTAGTCACAATCGATCAACAAAATTTCACAGGAATATGTGGACAATTTACTATTATTATAGGCATAATATAATGGTACTTGAAAATTAAATAAAAAATGTAGTGCTTGTAGAACAGTTGTGTCCAGCAAGAACCAACGAGGCGGTCTGAGGTAAGCTCTTACCAGGAAAGGAATAAGGAAGATGAGGAGGAAAAAGTGTAGGATAAATGATAAGAAAAACAGATAAAATCAAAGTAAAATATACAACAGAAAAACATAACAAAGGTTAACGAAAACTCAATAAAAACTCTTAGAACAAACAAATAACAGCACAAAATAATAACAAAAATTATAAAACAGAAAACAATTATCAAAAATAACAAAAATTAAAGTGCTAAATTCTGAATATGTACAAATAAACATTTATCTACAGCTATGTAAATGTTGCGGCCTCATGTGAATGTATTCAATTTACGTTTCTTTGTTTTATTCGTGCTTTCAAAGCTGTGGTACCTTTTGGCACAATAATTTTTCAAAAATGTATTGACTGTACAAATATCAATTTGTTTTATAACATAATCTGGTGAATGGACTGTGCAACGCGAAAATGAAGTGTCGTGATTATTATCACTCAGATTTTTAATTATCAACTGAATGTCAGTGATTTCTAAAAATGATTCCTCGTCACTGTCCAAAACTTTATTGAAAATTATATAACTTAGCATGACAATATTAATAACTGAATTTTAAGCCACCTCTACTCAAATTCTGTATAATATTGTGCTTGTCTTCTATATCAATATCATCTGTGTGTGTCAAATTTTCCTTACAATGATCGCAGTGATTTGTCTTTAATAAGGCATCGCAACAGTAACCAGCTAAGTAGGTGATGACAGGGATTCCATCCTTTATACTATCAATATCAGACTGTAAAATTTCAACTTCCCGGAAAAAGTGGTAATCATTAAAATTGTGAGGAATTTCATCTATTTCTAAATCATCATTTTCACAGAATTTATCTATTTGTATATCACCATAGCGAGACTTCAATGACATCAGGCTTTGAGTTCGTAACTTTTTCTCAGATTCATATAACTGATGAATTGATATAATATATTGATCCCCTGCCAGTTGACGATACTTACCAAAACTATTTTCCAATGATTCAGTTTGAAATTTACCTAACAATATATAATTACTGTGCAGTTCAGGTTTACAGTACCTTACTAATTTCAATAAGCCATAAACTGTATGATGTAGTGCAGAAAACTGTGAGAAAGTCTGAATAATTTTGCAAACAAGTTGATTTTTGATAGGAGGAATAATCATCAATGCTACTTTGCAGTGCTTTAAGTAGATGTTCTTGTTCCTTGTCCTTCAATTTCTCATCTCGGCTTCTTCTGCTTGATATCTCCTTTGAAAGGTATTTTGGACAATTTGCAAAGATACTTGGAATTACATCTGCCTTTAATTTTGGATACTTACGGGGTACAGTAATGGTCCTACCTGTCTTTTCGTCATGGAAGGTGGATTCCCAAGTGATGCTGTCCTCAGCAAAGTGCAAATTGCATACTCGGGTGTTTTTTGTAACCACTAAATCACTACGAGCGATTGCATTGAGCCATCTTTTACGACAGTTTTCATTCAATGGAAACGCGAGACACACATATAAGTTTAAAACATCAATAATTTTCAGTTTACATAGCATAGAAAGATACATAATAGAGGCTTAGAATGTGAGGTTAGTTGGCTGTTTGACAGCTGTTGGATGCTAACGATGTTACCAAAGTTGCCACATGTATTCTTGACATACTGAGGCAGATCAGAAAAAATAATCACATCCTCACTGAAGCTGCGCAGGCCCCGAGTATATCTTGCAAATTCGCCCACAGAGAGGTACAATTAATTACTAGAGATTTCGATACTGCTATATCGAACCTAGATATACTAAGTGACATATAAATCCGAACACCCAGTTTAAATGGTTTTATTTTAATAAAAGTTGGTGAATGTATTTATCTTACTGTAAATAACAAGTGAAAAAATGTTCAGCCCTATCAGTTGGACATTCCGGTTTTTATACTGTTTTTTTTAAGACCTGTACGATTTCGTCAACTTAGTGAGTTTGATAGGGGCCGTATAATTGCAGTTAGAGTGCAAAGAAGTGTAGACACTGTGGTTAGGTGTTGTCAGGCATGGCTTCGAGAAGGCCGTACGCAAACAGCAAGGGGCACTGGACGCCGCCGTAGAACAACACACCGTGAAGATCGCCGCCTAAGATTATTGGCCTTAAGGGACCGTTTCTCCACTACCAGGTCCATTGCAAATGAATGGTTTGCAGAACACGGAAGACCTATTGGCATGCGAAGAGTTTACCGACGAATGAGAAGTTTTGGCTTGTTTTCATACCGGCCACACTGGGTCCTCCCTTTAACTCGAGAACACCGACGTAATCGCCTTGAGTGGTGCAGACAACGGTCACTCTGGGATCAGGAATGGAACAGTATTGTCTTTAGTGACGAGTCTCGATTTTGTTTAGGCATGCACGATGGTCGTGCCAGGGTTAGAAGGCGACGTGGTGAAAGGAGGAATCCACAGTTTTTTGTTGAAAGATATGTTCATCACACTGTTGGAGTTATGGTTTGGGGTGCTATAGCTTATGGTTCCAGGTCACCTTCAATCTTCATCAGAGGTAACATGAACGCGCAGCGTTATATCCACGAAGTTCTAGAACCCCATCTTTTACCCTATCTTGACACCCTGGCAGATCCAACTTTCCAACAAGATAATGCCCGACCACATGTTGCAAGAGTCACAATAGACTTCTTTCAACATAATGATGTCACATTGTTACCATGGCCACCAAGATCTCCCGACTTATCCCAATTGAGCACGTGTGGGATATGATGGGTAGGAGATTGCTCAATTTGCAACGTCCTCCTCAGACTCTAGAAGCACTTCGAGAGGAGTTGGTGGTTGCCTGGAATGAGATACCACAGGAGGACATTGACCACCTGATCAGAAGCATGCCTAGGCGCGTTGGAGAATGCGTAGCACATCAGGGTGCATCCACACATTATTAAAGGTCAAAGGGCTTTAAAGCAGTGCAATCATTTTGAAATTTTTATCATTTACTTATTATGCTTCATTAAGTACTTATACAAAATTTATTTAAAATAAAACCATTTAAACTGGGTGTTCGGATTTATATGTCACTTAGTATATGACAACACCCCAGAGAAATGATGGCGCGGTTCTCTCTCTCACTCTCGCTGGTAACTACACTCTCAATACTTGACTAGATCTGGATAACACAGTGGTCCAACGTCGCCATTCAGTTTGGAAAAAATTCCAAAAATGAAGTATGGTATGTCAGTACATATGTTGTGATGTATGAAATTTTATGTAGCTACCTGCAAAGGCTACAGACGAAACTAGATATGAAAATTGCTCCCAAAGCTATTTAAATCTCAACCAGTCCAAATTGAGGTATAGTGGCTTAAATCAACATAGAATTCTCAGATCGATAGGTCGCCCGTAAGGGTCCATAACCTGGATAATGTGTTTTTGGAAAAATTTTGAATGAATCACCGATGCTGCATTGTTATATCTTACCTAACCGCGATGTTTTATACATTTGCTTTCTTGTCCGGAAATTCGCCAAAAATCGGAAAAAACTGCAGTTTCACCGATTTTCTCTGATTTTTTATACTTTGAAAGTAGGATATCATAGTTTGGCTAACCTAAGAACCTAATGTGTGTATGTATTTTTGGTTTTTGTTCCACCGTCAAAATTTTAATTTCTTTCATAGAAAATTTGTAAAAATGGCAAAAACCGCATTTTCGAAGATTGTTTCCAATTTTTTACGGTTTCTTGTCAAGAAAGAAATACTTAGCTAACACTATTGAATATTTGTGGTCTTTCACGTTCTTATTCAGTTCCGTTGTCAAAATAATGATTTTTTGTCAGGAAAAAAAATTGGAAAAACCGTTGAAAAGCGGTATTTCCAGTTTTCGGTGAATTTTAGGAAAATAATTCTTGATTTTGTTAGAATATCTAAATATTTTACTCGAACCTATAAGTTCTACGAATCTATAAAAAGCACGGTCATGTAGGATTTAGCAATGTAGCACCGTTAATTTTTGTAAAATTTTTGTAGCAAAATTACGCCCGTAAAAAAGTATTTTCAAAAAACACGTCTTTGAAGTTTGAGGTGATCTGACGATCTGAAAATTTGGCTGAGTCGAAATGCCTTAATTTCAATTAATCCAGATTTGAATACCTTTGGGGGTAATTTTCATGTCTAGTTTCGCCATAGCATTTGTCAGTATATACCGGACGCAATCAGTTGAGATCGACTCACTTAAAGAAGCTGCTATTTCGTATTAGAACGTAGTTCGTTATCTAAATGCTTTTTTGTTTGTATCGATCATCATTTAGTCTAGTCATACAGGGTGTTGTACCAATCTTGCAAAATCAACATTACTTGCCGGAAGCATGTAGTTTTTTATTTATAAACTCACAAAGGTTACAAAGATGAACAAAAAAATTTAAGTCTCAATTTTGAATTTCTGTAAAAAAAACTAAAAGCGTTCACATTCTTAGAATTCTTTTAAAAACTACTCTTGTTTACCCCGATTCTAACAGTATGCCACAAGTGACAAAAAAGTTTAACTAACTTATCGAATTTGCAAATTTTGTGTACAGGGTAAGGAAAATAAAAAAACGTGTAAAATCAAATTTCAATCATTTATTATTTTTTCTGTTTCACAAATTTTGTTCGAATTGTTGTCCTCTATTGCGTATGCACGCACGACACCTTTGTCTTATCTCGACAGTTGTCGTACGTAGGCTAATTTCTTGCCGAATCGTACCAAACTCCTCTTCTATTCTTCGGAGGATCAACTCCTCCCTTGTTCCAACTTCTGTCGCATAGATGAGTGCTTTTGCACGTTCCCAGATTAAAAATCGAATGGAGTTAGGTTTGGGAAGCGTGAAGGCCATAGAATAAGACCATCTCGTCCAATCCACGCATTCGGAAAAACATGATTTAGATATTCCCGTACAATTAGCCTCCAGTGTGCAGAACAGCCATCATGTTGGAACACAATTAATAAATAATAATAATAATAATAATAAAATGTCTTTATTAGGCACATTATATAAACTACAACATAATGTGACCTCTACGTAGGCGAAGTCTAGCTCTTGGCTACTCTACTTAACCTACCCAAATAATAAATTGAAATACTTAATCAAAGGAAACTTTGACAAGCAGCAAAAGACGCTTCAAAAGAATGAGCTTGATAGCTTCCTGACATACATAATATATAGACACATATATTACGTAAAAATAAAATAAAATATAAGAATTAAAAACTAACTTTTCCACAATTACTACAATGACAAATAAATCTGTTTCACATGCTTACGAAATCTGTTCACTGGCCAATCCTTTATATTGTCATCTAATTCGTTATAAATCAGGATAACATTGTAAGTGTATGAACTACGAAATAAAGTTGTTTTATACATAGGGATTTCTAGTCTTTTTTTGTGTCTGAAATCAATGTCTGAATTATTTCGTCTGAAAACAAATTTCTCATAAAGATATAAGGGGGATCGAGAAGATATGATCTTATGTGTAAACACTGCTATATGGTACTTGCAAGAATTTTCTATACACATCCAACCAAGCTGAAATCTCTTTAAGGAAACATGATCATACTTCTTCAGATTAAATACAAATCGACCAGAAGTATTTTGGAGTTTTTGGAGTCTTGCTTTTGTGATAGAATCAAGACAATGATAGAACAGTAAAATAAGCTTGGAAATATAATAGCCTCACATAACTTTTTTCTAACTTTAAAATTCAAAATAGAGCGATTGACATAAAAACACTTCAAAGTTGCATAACATTTTTTTAAGATAGACGAAACATGCTCCTTAAACCGTAAAGTATAATCAATAATCAACCCTAAATTTTTTGTAGTATGGAGAACAACGGACCGGCTAGCGGGACGTTGTAGTTAATTTTTCTAGAGGACATAGACAATAAATAATTTTATGCTTCAGTATACGTGGAAGTGCGTAGTGTCTGCATTTTCGTGTGAGTTAGGTATGTGAATATCGTCTGTTGTCTTTGATCTATTGCAATTTCTACATAAGTAGTTATACACTAAGGTCTATTTTTGTCTGCACTCCATCTATATTTTTTTTTTTTTGCTCTGACAAAAATTCCACGAAGCAAAAACCTCATCCACGCTGTACTAATAAATAGCTCAGGGAAATTGGGTGTATGTTTTCGTCATGGCACCCGATGTCGAGCTGTGTAAGGTATGCGAGAATAATTTTATAGTGAGTACTAAAGCAATTAACTGTAGTATTTGCGCATCTAAATTCCACACTTCTTGTGTCTCAGTCAAAGACAGCTGGATAAAAATAATATCAGAGTGTGAAAATCTGCTCTGGGTCTGTGATGACTGCCGTTGCTTCCTATATAAGAAATGTGATTCATCTAAAACTGAGACTAGTATCTTACGAAAAGAAGTTGAATGTCTAAATAGGGAAATGGAGCTTACAAAGCGATTGATGTCGGAACTGGAGTACTCCAGTGAACTACAGAAAACCTTATTGAAGTCTTACGAAAATAATGTTTATGTGACACCAAAAATTGCATTGCAACCAAATCCAAGCACATTTAGCGATATTTTAAAGAAACCATCTACCGCTAGTTCATCTGTGTTGCTGATCAAGGCAGATGCAGTGGAAAATGCTGATAGCAAGAATATTTTCCAAGAAATCACGTCATCTGTTAACCCAGCTAATCTGAACGTTTGCATCAACTCCACTAAACGAATAAAGAATGGTGTAGCGGTTCACTGCAAAGATGACAAATCACTTAACACGCTCAAAACCAGTCTCAATAACAAACTTGGATCAAAATATTCCATTACCCAAGCCAGGAAGCTGAATCCTCGCATGCTTGTCAGAAATGTAAATTTGGAGGGCTTAAATTCGCCTGAGGACATAGTAAACAATATTATTTCCTTAAATAGTTTCGCAAACATTCAGCAGACTGACATAAAATTTGTCACGAAGCTGAAACACTTCAACAGTGTCAACATAGTCATTGAAGTTACACCGGCAGTGCGGAAAGTTTTACTTCAAGAGGGCTTTGTGTTCTTAGGATGGAAGAAGTCTCTTGTAAGCGATCACCTTCATATTGTGAAGTGTATAAAATGCCACTCATTCGGTCATTCGGCAAAGGAATGCAAATCCACGGAAATAATATGTTCAAAATGCTCGGGAAGTCATATGTTAAAGGATTGTAAGTCTGATGTTTCAAAATGTATAAACTGCCTGAACTATAACAGAACAAAGAAAAAAAATATTCAATGTGACCATGCCACAAATTTTAGAGGTTGTCCAATGTACCAAAACTATGTACAAAACCTAAAAGAAAGAGTCGACTATGGCTAATCTATCTACTGATATGAATAAAAATAAAAACCTTAAAATAGCAGTATTAAACATCAGATCGCTTTTAGTCAAGTTTGTCGATTTCAAAAACACTGTGGTCAATTCCCAGGATTGGGACATTATTGCATTAACTGAGACCTGGCTCAATCAAAATGTAGACAATGATCTCATATCTTTGGATGGATTTACTCTTTTTAGGAACGATCGAGTTGACTCCAGAGGTGGCGGTGTTCTGATTTATATAACAAACAAAATTAGATGCAGCGTTATTGACATCACCTCTTCAGTTGAACAATTGTGGGTTACATTCAAAATTAAAGCGACGAGTTTTTGCTTTGGAGTCGTTTATCGGCCTCCTAAGTGTAACGTTTATGATTTTATCAATCAGTTTCAAGATTCACTTAGTTTGTTATATCCGAGATACGACAAAATGATTTGCACTGGCGATTTTAATATTGATTTTCTCGATAAAAACAGTAATGCTGTGAAGTTATTTGATGATTCGTTGAATAATTTTGGTTTGCATCAAATAGTAGCTACGCCGACCAGATTTGGAGTCTCCTCCGAAACGTTGCTAGATCTCTTTTTTTGCTCTGATGATATTCCAAGTACTTGTGATGTATGTAATGTACCAAATTTGTCTGATCACAGTTTGATATCTATAGTCCTTGAATATGAGGTAGAAACCAAACAACCTGTACTACGTAGCTACAGAGATTTCAAAAATATCAACCAAGAATCTTTTAAGACTGCTCTGGATGAAGTAGACTTTATGCAGATAGTTTATTGTCAGGATATAGATACGAAATTAAATATATTTAATCAATTAGTTTTAGAGCTATTTGACAGATTTGCACCCTATCGAATGGCAAGGTTTACGAAAAAACCAGCTCCGTGGCTGACTGATAACATTAAATTTCTAATGAAACTTAGAGATGACAAATTCACTGCCTATAGGAAATCAAGGTGCGATCAGAAATGGGAGGAATACAAAAAGTTACGTAATATAGTAAAATTAGCAACTGATAATGCTAAAAAGATTCATTTGGAACATAAAATTAACAGTACGAACTATAAGACTCTATGGAAAGATTTAGAAGCTATGAACTTTGGCAATAAGACACCCAGGTCATCTATCCCAGTTGATTTAGCTGATGTTGACAAAATGAACCGGTACTTTACGTCTTTATCTAGTGCAGGTATAGAACCTGATGCTGATACATTTTCTTTTTATAAAAATAATGTCAAACCAAATGTATCCCTCTTTGAATTCGCTTTGGCGTCCACAGATCAGGTGAAAGATACTTTGTTTGGCTTCAAAAGCAAAGCATTTGGTGCTGATTTGATAAATACCGAAATGCTGTTGTATTGCTGCCCCAAAATTATTCCTTTCATGACACATATCATTAATGAATGCATATTGCGTCGCTATTTTCCTTTTTGTTGGAAGCACGCTTTGATTGTGCCTTTGCCTAAAGTTGCTCAGCCATCTGAGCTCAAGGATTTGCGTAATATTAGTATATTGCCAACATTATCTAAATTGCTTGAATCAATAATGGATGTTCAGATAAGAGAACACTTAAGAACGAATAACCTCATTATAGATACACAATCAGGGTTCCGTCCGGCGCATAGCTGTACAACAGCATTGCTGGGAGTGGTGGATGATGTATTGTGCAGTGCTGACAAAGGTAACCTGACTGCCTTGGTGCTCTTAGATTATACGAAGGCATTTGACAGGATACATCATGACCTACTCTTAGCCATGCTCCACTTTTACGGATTCTCGGCCGATGCAGAGTCTCTAATGCGAAGCTACTTCAGCGATCGACAACAGCAGGTAATGCTGAATGATAAGTACTCTGCGCCATTGAAAGTGACCATTGGTGTTCCTCAGGGCTCCATTCTGGGTCCGCTAATGTTCATTATTTACACCTCTAATCTATACTTCAGTCTTCACTCTTGTAAAGCTCATTTTTATGCAGATGATACACAAGTGTACTTATCATTTCCTCCAGCTCAAACATTGCCTGCTGTTGATCTGATAAATAAAGACCTTGATCGTCTCACTAAAGCTTCTCGAAATATATGCTTAGACTTGAATCCGGCTAAAAGTACAGTCATGTTATTCGGGCCAAAAAATTGGAGAAACCATTGTGAACCTCTGGTGAAAATAAACCTCGATAACAATACTTTAGAAATAAGCTCGATAGCGCGTAATTTAGGCTTATACCTTGACAAAAACTTGAGGTTTGAGGAACATGTTAACAAGTGCTCCAGAAGGGCGTATTCTAATTTAAAGACGATATACGGTCAAAAATCTTACATCAACCAAAAAACTAAAGTCATACTGTGCAATTCTCTTGTTTTGTCGCATTTTAACTTCTGTGATGTCGTCTATGACAAATGTCTAACTAAATTCACTTCAGATAAAATACAACGCGTGCAAAATTCTTGTCTGAGACTTATTTTTGGTTTGAGTAAATTCGATTCAGTGTCAGCAAAGCTTACTGATGCTGGCTGGCTGAACATGAAGCAACGCAGGCTGCTTCACAGCCTCGTACAATACCATAAGATTATTATACAAAAACTACCTTCCTACTTACACGAAAAAATTCATTTCCGTTACTTAGCTCACAATCGCAATACCCGCAACAAAACTAAACTGACACCGCCTTTTCATTCTACCACCTTATTCGAAAGATCTTTTTCGTATAATATCAGCAAACTTTATAATAATATCCCGCGAGAGTATACTTCTCTTTCTATTGATTTGTTTAAAAAACGTATACGCTGCTACATTGCAGGGAATTGCATGGTATGACTTTGGAGGCATTATGTATTTTTATAGTACCATTTTACAAATTAGCCGCTAGGGTCCATTCTCTGATACTGCTTATACATGTGTGTATGTATATGTGGGTATATATGTGTATATATGTATATGTATGTATATGTATGTGTATATATGTATATGCTCTTTATCTCATTTTTATATATATGCTTACCTTATTATGATGTAAACCTAAAACCAGGGGTTAAGTGGAAGAGCGGATAAGCCGAACTTCGCCCCTCCCACTATATGTTCTTATAAGACTGGTTTTGCAACTTGTTTTGTATTTTCTTTGGTGGGAATAAAGACATTATTATTATTATTATTATTATTTACGACAGCTAGACGCTCCTTGTCGATTTTTACATCAAGAGAATTCAATATAGTGTTACGTTTGACAGCAGGACAAAAAAGCATCACTGAGCACTTATCCTTATTGAGCTTATTGAACTTAAGATTGTTACCATTTGAGTAGTATCCTACTATTGCCTCCAAATCATCATTAAGCTCATTGATTGAAGTATGTAAAGTGTTACTATTAAAGCTCTTATATATCTGTGTATCATCGGCATAGCACATCACAGAAGAGTTTTTCACAGAGCTACCCAAGTCTATAGTATAAATTAAGTACAACAAGGACCCTAAAACTGAACCCTGAGGGACACCTGATGTTATATCAATCGTACTAGATATAGTGTTGTCTATCTCTACTACTTGTTTACGATTTGAAAGATATGTTATAAAAAACATTAGAGGTATGTCTGAAAAACCAAAAAACTTCAATTTAGCACATAAAAGCTCATGATCTATTTTATCGAACGCTTTAGAATAATCTAATGATACAAGTGCTGAAGCATCTCCCTTATCAAGCGAAGCAATGATGTCATCTAAAACCCTTGCTAAAGCTGTAGTTGTACTAAAACCACTGCGGAAACCAGATTGACACTTGGTAAAGAAATCATTATTAGAGAAATAATGATAAACCTGATGTTTAATCAATTTCTCCAATATCTTCGATATAACAGGAATCAAAGTTATAGGTCTTAAGTCTGAGAGATATTTTGGATTTTTACATTTAGGCAAGGGCTTGACAAGAGATAGTTTCCAAGCATCAGGAAAATACCCAGCCTCCAGGCAACAGTTCAATAAATGCGTCAATGGAAGTAGTACTCGAGGCAAGCAATGCTTAAGCATTGAGACTGTTATACCATCCGAACCTGCTGCATTAGATTTTAGGGACAGAATAATGTCTAGCACATTTTGTGGGGTAGCAAAACTAAATTCAAATCTAGCACTTTTGGTACTATTAAATTTATCAACTAGATCCTTGCAATTGCCCGTAGGTGTGAAAACGGAAGAAAAATAATTGTTTACTTCATCGGCATTTTTCAACTGCGTAGGTAAAGATCTATCTACATTAGTTTTGAGTTTCAATGAATGTACAGCTTTCCAGAGATGCTTGTTACTATTTAGTTGTTCATTGAAGCTTAGATATGCTGCTTTCTCCCGCCTAATAGCGGAAATGACATCATTTCTTAATTTCTGGTAATATTCGAGACTAGCTGGACTTTTTAAAATCTGATACTTTCTGAAGGCTTTATCTCTCTCAGAGATCAAAAATTTTATGCCACCTGTGAGCCATGGAGCATAAGGTTTAGTAATACGTGCTGAAACAACAGGAGCATGGACATCAAACAAATCCAAAATATGATTAGAAAAAGACGTAGCTTTATCCTCTAAGTTACTGATGTAATATATATCATCCCATGGGATTTTATACAAATCCACCAAACACTGATCTTTACAACAATGTTTAAAGTCTCTATATTTGACAGTCTTTTGAAAATTCTTAGGTCGTGTGATGTTGAAGCCACATCTGACTACATTATGATCTGACAAATTCGGAACAGGTGCAGAGCTAGTTGAAGTTAATGATTCAGCTAAGTTATTTGTTGTACAAATGACATCTATGGAGGTTGCCGTGGTTAAAGTTATCCTAGTTAGTTGGGTGATGTGAGATACCATATCGTAGCACGTAATGCAATCTAGAAAACAATGGTCAGTAAGTTGATCAACGTTTATATCACCCAGCAAGCATATATTATCATACTGAGGAGACACAAATGAGAGAAAGTTGTCTATATGATCAATAAAACTTGATAATCTGCTGCACAAACCAAAATTTTTAGATTATTCAACACTATTTCAGCACAAACCTGCTCCATACCATCTGGACATAAAAAATCTTGCAATACCAGCTTACCTCTCAGTGAATCCCTTAAATAAACACCAACTCCTCCTCCACGTCCTACTCGATCAGTATGGAAAAAAGTGTACTCAGGAATATTTACTATATCTGCTGTAAAATCATTATTAATCCATGTTTCGGAGATACCCATAATATCATAGTTATCAGTAGTCAACAAATCTACAAAGGAATCAAAGCCAGCAAACAGAGATCTTACATTCAGGTGTCCAACAACAAAATGGTTATAAGTTTTTGTGCAATTATTCATAAGCAATCTGCATTTTCAAATTATCGATCTTCATTTTGTAATAACTGCAAGAGGTATCACTTGCAACATGCTTTGTACACCAGTTAGTTTTATATCTATCATTATGAAACTTACAGTTAGGACAACAAGAATCATCAGTTTTACAATCTCTAAATTCATGAAAACCTGAGCACTTAGAACAGACAACATTCTTGCTTCGGCAATCTTTCTTACCATGACCAAATTTACAACATTTGTAACAACGTAGCAAATATAAATTTTCCCTCACAGTACATCTCACCCAGCCAATAAAAACAAACCTTTTGCTACTAAGTAAATTGAACACAGAAGGAACCACCTCGATAACAACATTTTTTGTATTTTTAACCTTATAGCAACTAATTATTTTTATATCAACTGAATTAACACCTAAATTGTTATTGAATATTAAGTCGCCAACAAAACTATCAACAAATTCAAGTTTATCTGGACCAGGATTTTTGAAACAGTCGTTAGGTACACCCTGTATCAACATTCAGACCATTTATGTTGAGTTTAGTCTTGTTGATATTGACATTAAGAGCACCAGGCGAATAACGAGATTTAAAATCATTTTCGACAGTTTTGTACGAAGTAGAACGATCTGCAGGCTTAATCAACAAAAATGAATGGTCCACTTTTTCCACGATAGCACTGTACGAAACACAATCTTTGTTTTTGCTGCTGTTGCCCACTGGCTGACTTCGAAATTTATCTTCAAGGTCACTTATGAGTTTTTTCTGAATTTCCACAATATAACCTCTCTCGTTTGCGATTTTATCGATCAAATTTTTTTCTCTTACCAGGCACTCAATTTCTTTTTCCAATACAGCTAAATCACTTTCGGGCATACTAGCACTGCTCCTTGACGCCCGTGAACCAGACACCATTCTAACTTCAGACTTTTCAGGTTTTCGATTAAATACTGCTTCCCCAAAATCTGCCATTTTCAGCTTGCCATTTATCATTGGAAGACAATCGCTGCAGAACCATTTGATTCCCGCACAATCACGCTTAACTTTAGCTAATTTGTCGTCGACCTCAGCACAATGATGATGGAACAACTTTTTGCAAAAATCGCAAGAAATATTCTTGGTATTCACAATGAAATTATCTGAGCATCGAGCACACGCCTGTATGCCGGACGCCATCTTTTTCCGATATATCGCCATTGAAACTTGGCACCTCATTCACCAATTCGGGCAACTTATTTTGCAGAAAATGTAGATAATTATCTCCTTTAAGACGATCTAGCAAATAATGTGACCCAATCACATGACTGCCAATTACTCCTGACCAAACATTAACACTGAATCTTCTCTGAAAAGAGCTTGGCCTCTTCACTCTTGGGTTCTGATCTTTTGAAGCCCAATGGTGCAGATTGTGCAAATTTAGTATCCCTTCCTTGGTGAATCTGGACTCATCCGTCCACAGAATACTTGTCAAAAAGTCCGGATCGTCCACGTCTGTGTGCAGCAAGAAACGACAAAACCGGACTCGGTTGTCGAAGTTATTGTTTTCAAGACCTGCCATCAAAAAGATACGGGTAACATTAGTTTGCCGCCGATACATGCTAAATAAAAGGATAAGAAGTTTCCATTGCAGACAGTTGTAAGTGTGATAAAAAAATTACGTACCTTGTACAGGAGTGTAGTTGAAGGCATGTTTATTATTCTGGCGAAGTACTTTCCACACTTTCCAAATTGAAATTCCCAGAGATGAAGCTACGTTTCGGATGCTTTGAGTAGGATATTCCTTGACAATGGCCAAAATTCTCTCATCGATGTCAACATTGTGTCGCACTACGACACCTCTTGGTACATTATTGCTCACAGTATCGGTTTCTCGTAAGCGTCGATAAGTGTTCGTAGATTCTTTGCGCTGCTCGTGCAACACAGTTGGCTTGTCCGTACACCAACAACATGTCTGCATACTCTTCATTTGTAAATGCAGCCATCATCAAAACAGAACTCAACGAAAACTGACAAAATAACAACAGTCACAGGTAGCGGCATTACGTAGAAGTAACAAACGCGTTAGGCAGCCAGCAGGGACGAACCTCGATGGAAACATGGAGCCACGTCGTCCCTGTCGGTTAGCCGCTCAACTAGTAAAAGATAGAGACAGATGATACTGCTCCGCTGTGTACGAGGGAGACAAAAGTTTTTACCTGACTTACGTTGTACGTGTAAATTACACAACAGAAACAAAAATTCATTGTTATTATCCGACCGAAAAAATTTGACCCTGTAAACAAAATTTGCAAATTCAATAAGTTACGTAAAGTTTTTTGTGACTTGTGGCATACCGTTAGAATCGGGATACACTAGAGTAGTTTTTAAAAGAATTCTAAGAACGTGAACGCTTTTAGTTTTTTTTTGACAGAAATTCAAAATTGAGACTTACATTTTTTCGTTCTTCTTTGTAACTCTTTGTGAGATTATAAATTAATAAAAAACTACATGATGCTTGCAAGTAATGTTGATTTTGTAAGATTGGTACAACATCACCCGTTAAGATAAATTAATCATTAGGTGGACATACCCTTTATTTATTTTATTTCACTTTGTGTACCTATTACATTTTGGAGCTTTTACTAAAAAAAATTAAAAAATCTACATAATCAATTCCGTTGGGCTAAAAACTGTTTGAGGGACCTGGGGTGATAGAAAAAGACCTACTCTGTGCGCCATTTAAATTTGGCAAACGATGCCAGTGATTCATCTTTATCGTGTTTGATGGTAATGGTTTTGAGTTTTTGCTTTGTTACAACTGTAGAAATAATGTCGTAACTAGGAAAAATAAAAATATTCTCAGTATTTCTCCACATGAGAAGGTTTAGAAATTGAGCAGGTAATTGTAGGTTTTGAAATTAACTAAAACTACAATTACACTGATCAACAACCAAAAAATATCCTAAATAAAATCAACAAAATATTACTATTTTTAATGTGCTAAAACCGGAATGAAGCTTATTTTTTCAATATTAGTTCAAGTTTTAGAGATACGGTAATTATATGTGTTCCTGCTGTGACAGTGTTAATATACTGTAATTCACAAGAATGCACGTGCTACATTTTTATATTTTGCAAGGAGAGGTGATGTAATCAGCATGATTGTGTTACGTTATACATACGTGTACATTATATTGATTTATATTAGCCATTTTTTCCTCAGTTGGCTGACAGCGTTCATGCAAAATGTCTCGAAAGTGTATAAACAATCCAGGTCAGTTTTGTTACGTGTGTGGTGATGTGACTTTTGCGTCTCAGAGACGGTCTATTACTACACTAATAACAAAGGCATATCAGCTTTATTTCGGTTGTAAACTAGGTGATCAAGACAAACAGTGGGCTGTAATACATGTGCTTCAAGTCTGAGGAGCTGGTTAAATGGCAAAAAACGGTCTATGCGCTTTGCTGTCCCAATGGTTTGGAGAGAGCCTACAAATCATATTAATGATTGTTACTTTTGCATGATACCTTGTGTTGGACAAGCCACAGGTATGTCCAAGAAAAAAAATCGGATATTAACTACCCAAACATACCATCTGCGATGAGACCTGTGCCTCACAGTGACGAAAATCCTATTCCAAAACCCCCAGAATCCTACACTTGCGAATCAGAAAACGAATCAGATCATGGCGATCGAGTGATTCGTCAGGAAGAAGATATGCCATCAACGTCAAGAGATCCTGATTTTATACCGAGCACGTCATGCCACCAACCGCACAAAATAACACAGAATTAAATGATCTTGTAAGAGATTTAGAACTTCCAAAATGTAAGGAAGAGTTACTTGGATCAAGACTGCAGCAGTGGAACTTGTTAGAAGACGATGTTTCGGTATGTGTTTTTCGTAAACGCCACAAAGACTTAGAACCATTTTTCAATATGGAGAATAACTTGGTTTTCTGCAGTAACATTAACGGCTTACTGGCGGCTTTAAATATAAACTATAACCCAGAAGAATGGAGATTGTTTATAGACAGTTCAACATTGAGTTTAAAGGCAGTGTTATTGCATATTGGAAATATTTTACCATCTCTTACTGTAGGGTATGCAGTTCACATGAAAGAATCATATGACAATATGAAGTACCTATTGACATGCATAAAATACGATTAGCACCAATAGCATATTTGTGGCGATTTGAAAGTTGTTGCAGCTAGGCTACACAAAGTTTTGCTGTTTTTTGTGTGAATGGGACAGTCGGGCAAAGGCACTTCATTACACCAGACAAAACTGGTCTGTTCGTCAATTCTTAGAGCCAGGTCAAAAAAATGTACAGCATATAGAGATAGAGATGGGTCAGCTTTTCAATACCTGCGTCAGAAATTTCCAAGACTAAGTGAGGCAAAGGTTAAAGAAGATATTTTTGTTGGGCCACAGATTCGAAATATTTTGAAAGATACACAGTTTGAAAACACTTTAACAGGTATTGAAAAAACTGCTTGGAATTATTTCCGTCTGGTGGTCACTAATTTCTTGGGAAATAGAAAAGCTGACAACTATAAAACCCTTGTCAAAAATATGCTGTCATCGTATCAAAATATGGGCTGTAATAAGTCTCTTAAGATACATTTCCGACACTCACACCTGGACTTTTTTCCTGACAATTGCGGAGCCGTAAGTGATGAGCACGGCGAACGTTTTCATCAGGATATTTCAACAACGGAAAATAGGTACCAGGGAAAGTGGAATCCTTCCATGCTTGCAGACTACTGTTGGACTCTTGGTAGAGATGCTCCAGAAACGATCCATAAAAGAACAGCAAAATGACAGTGCATATAGTGATTCTTATAGATATATGAATCTTGTTACTTTTTTTAATATATCCTTAAAAATAAAAAGTTTTTTTTCTAAACCGCAACTAATTTTTTTATTTCATTGTCATTTTTGGATTCAGCGCCTTAAAATTAACAAAGAAGTCACTTTTCTCACAAGATACAATTAAAAAACTAAAATTTGTTGTCCAGTGTTACCTGTCACGACATTTTTTTGGTTTTATTTTCGGTATTTACTTATTCGGGGTTATTCGGAAAATGGCTTTCATGGAAGCATTATAACAAAAAATATAGCTTGTATTGAGTTGATTTTATATGTTTTGAAGAAAAATGATATTACCGTTCAAGTTACTTACCCAACTTTGCAAAAGTTTTCTAAAAGATTTAAACTACGCTAGATACTAAAAAAATCAAAAAGTTAACTACAGAAACAGAGAAAAACATGATGAATGAACATTTATTAAAATACAGGGCGCGGCAGAGAAGACGGTCGTTTTTGAGATGGGTAGTATTCTCCGCCTCCGTCTACGAGAGAGGTGGGGAGGGTGCCGTTTGACTCGTGAGTTCCTAGCAATATTTTACCAGTTGTCGTTATGGAGCCTTGGACGGTGGAGCACCGTGCTTTCGAATATGTGTGACGAAGCCCACTTTCACCTAAACAGCATGGTTAACCAGCAGAATTGTCGTTATTCGGCTCATGAAAATCCGCAACAGTTACACGAAAGACCGCTGCACAGCCCAAAAGTAACGGTTTGGTGCGCTGTATCGCAAACTTGCATCATTGGCCCTTACTTCTTCGAAGACGGTAATGGTCGTGATGTTACCGTGAACTCAGAGCGCTACGTCGACATGATCACCAACTTCTTTCTCCCAGAATTACGACGGCGACGTGTTCCAATCCCACCTATGTGGTTCCAGCAGGATGGGGCGACACAGCCCGAGCATCCATGGACGTTATTCGCCCTCTCTTCCCTGGTCGCCTGATTTCCAGGTTTGGCGATGTTCATTGGCCTCCTCGGTCCCCAGATTTATCCATATGCGATTTTTTCTTATGGGGACACCTCAAGGCTAGAGTATACGCGAACAAGCCCCGAACTCTGGACGAATTGAAGGGCGAAATTCGCGTGGAAGTCGCCCAAGTTGAGAGAGCGAGGTTGGAGAGAGTCTACGCAAACTTCCAAGAACGCCTCCAGCACTGCATCTACGATTTTGGCCACCACATGCCTGATGTGATTTTCCACACTTGACTGTCTCAAATGCTATTTCCTTGTGAACCTGATTCCATCAATAAATTTGTTTTCGAGTAAAAGTTAACTATTTTATGATTTTTTTAAAACCGTCCATGCTCTCTGCCGCACCCTGTAT